GTACCAAGCATACCTATTCTATATTATATCTATATATTTATTTATTTATATTTATATTATTTAAGATGAGAGCAGGGGAGCAGAGAGCAACTGTGGGTACTTAGTGGATTAGCAAATAGTTATTCCCACAACTTTTAGGTTCATATTGCTAGATCTTGCTGAATATTGATATTTTTTATTTAATAAATGGGTGGTAAGAGAAGTTGGGGAATCAACTTAAGTTGTAGTAGTCTTTACGATATATATTATATTTATATTAGTATTTTATTATATTAATATATATATATATATATAGGGAAAGTGATATATAGGTGGACACCCTAGGCTAACCACCTAAGGACGGCGGCCTAAATCATTTCATTTCCTGTTTTTTGCGATTTGTCACTCCGTTTAACTTGATCTACACGTCTCTTAAACCCTAAACACCACCAATTTTAGGATGACCCGTCGTGGTTTGGACCCTTATCTACTCGGCTAGAATTTCTAACGCGGTTTCGGGCACATGATAGAACTTTTTACACGGTCTAACGATGGTCATAACACAACGTCGTTCACCCCAAATTGGTGGTGGTTAAGAACGTAGTAGATCAAGTTCACAGAGCAGGCGGTCGCCCAAAAAATTTAGAATTGTGGTATGTGTCTAGGGCGTTTAGGGCCATCTAGCGGATGTCACCTAATTCCTTTTCCTATTTTATATATTATATCTATTATTTATATATATATATATTTATATATATAGGGAGGAGTGAGAGGCGAGATGAGGAGAGCAAAACTGTGCAACTGACTTTAAGCAAAAAGTTTTCCACCAAACATTTTTAGACCACTCTGATGCCTCAGGATCCCTTGCATTGATTGAAATTATTAATTAAAAATAGTGGACTAAGGTTATTTAACATCCAACTTAAGTTGATTAGGAGTTACTATTTTATATATATATTATATATTATATATAATTATATAATTAAAAAGGATCATATATATTATTATATAATATTATTATATATATATTATATGGAAAAGTGAATTAATGTGGACAACCCGTTTAGGCTCCCACTAAGGCACGCGCGCCCTAAATCACTCATTTCCTTTTTTTTTTTTACGATCTACTCCGTTTGGAACTGATCTGACGTTCTTAAAACCTCAAACACACCAATTTTAGGGTTGAACCCCGTACGTGTTTTTGCACCTTATCTACCGCTATAATTTAACGGTTTCGCATGGATAGACTTTTTACAGCTCAACGATGGCAAAACACAACCGGGTTCTCGTCCCAAAATTGTGGTTTGGATTTAGGTGTGATAGATCAAGTTCCGGGCAGGTCGGCAGATTTTTTTTAGATGATGTGATTCTTAGGCCGACACTGTCCTTAGGTGGGAGTAGGGTTGTCACCTTAGATTCACTTTTCCATATAATAATATATATATTATATATTTATATATAATATATATTATATATATATATATATATATTATTATTAATATATATATATTAGAAAGTTATTCCACCAACTTTTTAGCACTCATACTTGGCCTGGGATCTTACTGAATATGAATATTTTATATTATAATATGAGTAGAAGTGGGTGGACATCATTATTGAGTGGAGGTCTTTTATTATATTATCATATTATATAATATTTATTATTATTTATATATATTTATATATATATGGGAAAAGTGAATCTAAGGTGACACCCTAGGCTCCAACCTAAGGACGCGGCCTAAAATCACATCATTCCATAATTTTTTTTGCGATCCGCTCCGTTGAACTTGATCTACACGTTCTTAAACCCAAACACATCAATTTTAGGGTGAACTTGTCGTGTTTTTGACCCTTCGTTGAGCCGTATAAAAAGTTCTATTCGTTCGAAACCGTTAAATTTGTGACGAGTGGATGAAGGGTCAAAACACGACGGGTTCACCCTAAAATTGGTGTGTTTGTGTTTAAGAACGTGTAGATCAAGTTCAACGGAACGGATCGCAAAAAAAATTTATGGAATGATGTGATTTTAGGCCGCGTCCTTAGGTTGGAGCCTAGGGTGTCATCTTAGATTCACTTTTCCCTATATATATATATCTTCTTTTTCTATCTTTTTTTTAAACAACATATCATAAACGAATATTATAGCATGAAATTAAACCAAAAGATTTATAAGCACATATGAAATTATCGGGAACATTTTATTCTCTCTCTATATCTCATGTAAGCATTATCATCAGTATATATATATTATCATTATACTTCCAACCACCATCGCCACTGCATGCTGATCGATGCTACATCTTCAACGAATCCAGTGCCTCCTGAAAAAGGTCAGCCTTTATATCTCTATACTCAGGCCAAGTCACTCCCCTATAAATTGGGCCTTGGGCTGGGCCAACAACAATGTCGGGCAGCGGCGACACTTCGCCTCGCCGGCCCACAAGTAAGCGCCGAAGCTCTTCGTGTTGCTCCATGCACAGGCCCGGATGTGTAGCGCTTTGAACGCGTCCGTTTCCGTCAAGATGTGCAACAAAGTTCCTAGGATCACGATTAGGCTTCCCGTTGACGCGGTCGCCGTCGCCATTGCCGGGCCGGAGCCATTACTCGGCCTTAAGACTTGGAGCCCCGGTGTGCTGTTTTGGTAGAGGATGGTGACTAGGCTCGAGTCGGAATGGGCCGCCATGCCCATGGCCCGGTCCGGGTCGGGACAGGCCGGGTAAGAGTTTAATCGGACAGCACCCGTTAGCTCGTTGGGGTCTTGGATTAGGGTTGTGCAGTCGTCTTTGAGGCCTAGAGAGAGGAGCATGAGTTGCATTAACCGCATAGAGAGCCCCTTCATCTCTTTGTCGTAGTCCTCTATTACATTGCTGCGTGCAACATTTTTATGCGCGCGGTTAGTGGTAATTAATAATGGGCTCGGACCGCTTACGACTAAAAAGGCAAAGGAAGGAAATTGTATCCTTTGTATTTAAGGGTTAATTGCGGATAGACTCCCAGTAGTATTCGCCTGATCGATGGAGGGGTAGACCCCATGCATGAAGTTACAATTGTGTAAATAGACTTCTGGAGTGAAATTTTTTTGACTCTTGAAAGAGTGAAAAAAAAGTTCTATAGAGGATAGATATATAGACTCTCACGGTTCTATTGGTGCGAATAGACGCCCAGTTGCTAATTTTGTTTTAGCTCTTAAAAGAATCAGAAAAGGTTCACTGCGTGCAGAGGGTCGGGTCTATCTGCACAGTTGGAATTTTATTCGCAATCAACCCTTTATTTAATTATATTTGATTGTGAAAATCAATACCAAGAAATGCAGCATATTTAACATGTTTTACTTAAAATACGGTGAAATTTTATTTATTTTTAATCATAATAGTCTATCACTTAGTATTTACTAAGATTTTAATTTCTCTTGATGTAATTAAAAAAGCCTAAGTGCAAACAGTAGAAGCGACAACTGATAAATGTCAGATTTAGATCTGTAGTGATTCTATGTAAATACTATGAACTATGCAGTACTTTCCTACTAACTACAAAAGAGTTGGATCATTATACTCATAATTCTTGACAACAATTCACATAAAATTCCAGTATCCTGTATTACAAAAACAATATCTAATTTATAATATAGTTATATATATCATTAGATGTAAATCTTATTATCAGATCTTCTATGATGAGCCTTTCTTTTCCCCATTTTGACGTATATGAACAAGATTGATTCTCTCTAATGAACATTATTCATTTAATCAATCATGTTAACGATATATTACTAACACCAAATTAATTAATAATTGGAAAAAAAAACGTTACCAAAACTGCGAAGGATCGTCAGGCCACAACTTCCTCGCATGCTCCCCTACCGACGTCCCCGCAAACGTGAACCCCTCCGACCACATTCTCTTCGACCCGACTCGAGCGGTCCGAGGAGCCGGCAGGGACACCGTGGCCAACGAAGTGGAATGCCCCAAGCGACTCGCAGGACGTTGGAGCCGGAGAGGTCGACGACGGGGAGAGGGGAGGAGGAGATGGGGTGGTCGGTGGTTGTGGGCCAAGAGTGGGTTTCTGGGACGAAGTTCATTGAGTTGAGCTCAAGAGGTGTGTTCATGAGTGAAGGCATGATGATGAGGATTACGAGAGTGAGAGAGTGTTCTTTTTAAAGGAATACTTATAGAGAATGCTCAGAATGGACAGTACTCTAGTATTTATAGGATTCTTTGGGGGGTTAAAATGATATAAAGATTTGCTAAAAGGTATGGTGGATATATGGTGAAAGATGTGGAGGTGAATATTTAGGGGGTGTTTGTTTCAATTTTTTTTTTTTTTGGATATAGGGTTGATTACAAATTCTAGGATGAAAAAGTGGTTTTTTTTTGAGTTTACGGATTCCATAACCTTTGTTTGATTCAAAATAAATTTTGGGATATTGAATACCCAAATAATAAAAAACTAATATATTATAGCATTTGTGAAATCCCCTCTTTGAGAGAGGATTTAGGCTAAATCTCTCCCAGCCCGTGTCCAGCTCATCAAACTTTACACTGATATCCTAAAATCAGTTTCGTAGGGTCACCGCTTTCGTCTCCCTGGTCTTTTACCTGCCGTCTTATTTTCCGCGCGAAAATCCTAGATCTCGTTCCCTCCTCTCCGCCTCTACGACGCCACCCCCTCCCTCCTCTCCGCCCTCAACTTCACCGGGATCCGCCTCCTCCTCAGCGTCACCAACTCCCAGCTCCACCGTCTTGCCTCTCCTCAACTCTCTCTAACATTTTGGGTTAAATTAGTTTGGGGTTTCTGTTGTTTCAACCGAACTTCTCTGAACTGCGCCTCCTCCTCAGCAGGTAAATCTTGTTCCCTTTCTTTGTAAATTAGGGTTTCTTTGTAAATTTGGGGTTTGGTAAAAATGATTTGGGGATTTATGTGAAATTGATTTGGGGGTTATATGTGAAATTGATTTGGGTTTGGTGAAATTGGTTCTGCACAATTATTAGTCTGTGAAATTCATTTGGATTTGGGGACGAAATTGTTCTCGTTGCATTGCTTGAAAATAACTAGGATATTCTTATCTGCGTACTTGTAAGATTAGTTTGAATTTCGTTTGAATTCTTGTTCTATTGATTAGTCTGTGAAATTGATTTTGAGTTCATGTTCATTATCTATGCACTTGTAAGATTAGTTTGAATTTCGTATACTATTTTAGGAGTTTAATTTGTGTTTAGTTTCATTAGTTCATCCCTTCAGTTCTATAAAAAAATTTATTTGCATCCGAGCACTTGAACATTCTTGATTACTTAACTCCTTGAATTTTTGAGTAAAGTGCTTAGTTGATCTTTGTGGACCAAACTTTGTTCTATAAAAGATTCATTAAGTAACAATTAGATTCTTATATTTGTATTATCATTCTAATATTTGTTTTAGTGAGTACAAGACAATGTATCATATTTTTACGGGAAATTTCTTTTTAAAACAATGTAGATAGACGACATTGATGAAGAGATGTTAATGCGGATGACTTCTAATGCTACTATCTCTGCGGTGATTTGTGTGTTTGCTTGTTTAATTAGAATACACAGTAGAAGGAAATCGATCATTTATCACCCTAAGGTGGAAAAAAAGAGAAGATAGATTCTAGAGCTAGGCACATAAGTCGTGTGTTCAATGGCACATAAGCAAACTTTGAATATTTACTTATGAGTAAACTAATTTTATAATATATTATTGTATAGGACAAAAAAATGCAATAGCTCTAGGTTGAAGGAGTATTTGAACACTCCTCTCATTCACTATGAGAACTTGTGTCAATAGCTCTAGGTTGAAGGAGTATTTGAACACTCCTCTCATTCACTATGAGAACTTGTGTTATATCGCGGGAGATGACCAAGTTGAACACTCCTCTCATTCACTATGAGAACTTGTGTTATATCGCGGGAGATGACCAAGCAAAGGGTGATCTCACCAAAGATATAACTGAAAAACTTGACTCTACGCAACATTATATAGTTGATGAGGATCATGTCGATCTTAGTGATAATGAGGTTGCTTTGTCCTCTAGTTCACATCTTGAGCCCGAGAAATCAATTGGGCAAAACAACAACACTCAAGCTAAAAATTAAAGACTTCTAGTGGGATAGCTTCTACATCAATTGATACATCAAATCCTAGGAAGAATAGTAGCAAGGCTAAAGAGGATGACTCTCTCATGCGCGATTCCATTGAGACAATGTCATTCTTAATTCAACATCAATGCATTATACATTGGAGTGAGACCATGGCGAAGGCTCTAATGGCGCATGAGAATGAGTTTTCTGAGGACACATTGGATAAAGTGCTTGATTACTTGTATGAACATGAATCAGATTCTAGGAGGTTGATCATCAAAACAAAAAAAAAATGCTCAAAAGCTATTTATAGTGAAGATTATCAACGAGCAAGGATTCTAGGAGGTCGTATTTTGGGTTTGACTTTTAAAAACTTGATATTTCACTACTTTGAAAACTTGACATACCTATTACTTTTGTAAACTCATTGCATAGTTAACTACTTAGTGATGAAATTTGAGCACTTATGGATATGTTGCTAATTATGTAAGTTGAACACTTAGTGGTGTAACTTTATGCATATTTCACTACTTTTACCAACATGATGCATGTTTCACTACTCCAATTGCAATCTCATTATAACTTGGGTTATTTTGCAGGTTTATATAAATATAGATGGATATGATACTTGATAGCAATCTACATTGCACGCTATGTATTGGTATTGCTATTTTGTATTTCAATTTGGACAATGATGATGGTCCTACTGTGAGAATGCAATCTCTAATGTTTTGCGATGTTTAGGTAAGGCAATCTAGAATGAGAATGCAACCTATATTATATTTACAATGTTAGGTGAGGCAATCCATTCATGTGATTGCAACTTACATTGCAACTTCATTGTTAGATGAAGCAATCCACGTTTTCCATTTTTATACCTATATATGAGCCCCTACCTTGGTTATATATAATTAAAATAATGGGATTTGGGTCATGCTTGGTTGCTTGTTTTTTATGGCTTGTGGGTTTGTTACAAGCTTTTCCCTATTATTTTGTTTGGGTCATGCTTGATGCTTGTTTTTGATAGCTTGGGTCATGCTTTAGTTATTTTCAGTGACTGGTTTTTTCATGTCACTATTGATACAAGCTTGGTGGCAGCTTGTGGGTTACTGATGCATGGCAGATTTGTGTATGTATTGGTTTGCCATTGTTCAGCTTGTGGGTTACATGATGCTTTCTCTTATTATTTTGCTGGTTGTGTTCAGCTTCTAAGTTAGAGTTGGTTACTTGTTTTTGATGGCTTGTGGATTTGCTACAAGCTTTTCCCCTATTATTTTGTTTGGGTCATGCTTGGTGCTTGTTTTTGATGGCTTGGGTCACGCTTTAGTTATTTTCAGTGGCTGATTTTTTTATGCTATGATTGATATAAGCTTGGTGGCAGCCTATTATTATGCTGGTTGTATTCAGCATGTGGGTTACTTCGTTAGAGGATGTCATGGTTGTTTTCAATGACTGGTTGTACTCGGTATGCTTAAACTTTGAGTCAATTTTTGGGTTTGATCTGCTTGCTTGTAGCCTTGGTTATTTCGCTGATTGTTGTAATCGGCTTGCTACATTTTGCAGCCTATCCTATTTTGCTACTTGTCTTTGACGCCTTACGGTTTTGTTGTAATCAGCTGTTTGCTTGTTTTTAATGGCTTACGAGTTTGCTGGGTTTTTTGATGGCTTGTTTTCTATACGTTGCTATAATCAGCTTGTTGCTGATGGTTGCTGGGTTTGTTGTAATCAGCTTGTTCATTTTGGGGTGTTTGTTCAAGTTTTTTTGGGATATAGAATGGATTTAAAATTCTAGGATAAAAAAGTGAGTTTTTTTGAGTTTTTTGGATTTAGCTATGATGATTGGTCATATTTTGATAATGCCATATACAATGGGATTTCATTATTTACAGGAGGCATTCAATAATAAAAATGCAGTCCATATTACGTTTGTAATTTTTAGATGAGGCAGTCCATTATTTGAATGCAGTCTACGATGCAATTTTATTATATAGGTGTTTTAAAAAATAACCATTTTCTGGGCCTCCATATTATCAATTATTTTTCCTTTTTTGTTTACATTGTCTCAGGTTGGTTTTGGAGATTTGAATATGTGAGAGTTAAATTTTCATTTCAGTTTCAATACATTTTGCATGAACAATGCATAAAATATTGAAATACAGAAGAAAAAAATTAAAAAGAGTGCACACATTTTCCAAATTAGAATTTGACGTTCTCTGACTTTCAATTCTGATTTCAATTTCCTGATTTTGAGCTTTTTCCTATCTTCAACTAATACTTCCAAGCTGTCTTTATCGATACTCTTCATGTAATTACCATCATCATCATCCCATTGAAAGAAATTACATTCTTTCTTTGGATACTTAGTGCAACCCCAATAATAACGGCCAATATTTTTTATAATTTTTTCATTGCTTCAAGGGTGTCAGGATTTTACAGCTACACCTGTTTTGCATCTCCATCCTAGTTGCTGAAAAATGATGTGTGGAGGCTTCTTGCTTGCAAAAAAAAATACTCATGAAGTTAGTAAAATTGAACTATTTTTATAGTCATTGGCAAAATATGACTGTTTATAACCGTTTATAGCCGTTGGAGTTTAACTTTTGATGTGTATGGTTACCCCAATTATGTACAATTGTGTTTGTTCTTTTGTGGGAGGTAAGCTCACCAAAGGTCGTTAATGATGCTATATTGTTTAGTGATTTGAAATGGAAAGAGAGTGCTGATGATCGGGGATGATACGTGGATGCAGTTGTTTCCTAATCACTTTGAAAGATCATATCCTTATCCTTCTTTTAATGTTAAAGATCTCGATACGGTAATTTATTATATTCTCCTACATGACATATGTTCTTGCTATTTCATACTCTAGGAGATTGCACAAACTTTAAGTGTATATGTGTAAGGTAAGGTTAATATCTTCCAACTGTCCTATTAGGATCTAGCTAAGCCATTACATTATTGAATATTTTCATCGACCATGAAA